GGTAGACAGGGAAAAAAGTACAACAATGAATGAATGGAAATCCAAAGTGTCAATTTTCATTAAAATTAATAATAAGATATAACTTAAAAATTTTAAAAATATCCCTTGAACTCTTAAAACCCAGCAATTATCTAACTTCACTTGTAAAAGACATTGTTCCTTGAGCATTATGTTCTTTTTTAAAAACTATATGTAGAGTAATCAAATTGACAACAACCCAAAAGATAGAAAATCTTAGATGGTCATTAGCTTCTGTTACTAGAGAAGGAACAAGAGATGAAAAAGGTTGAGAGTGGCGGGTGCACAACTCAAAAGAACATAGTTGATGTCAATGAATTGTACGTGTAGAAACAGGTGAACTAATGTATATTTCATATGTACACATTCAACAACAAAGTTAATGTTAAAAAAGACAATCACAGATGTTTTTCTCTGGATCTTTCTTGATCATCATTTGCCTTCCTCAAGCTCAGCTGTGTTTTATTCCCTTCTGTAGCAGCAACGACTAGAGGAGGTGCTCAATAAGGACCTGTTAAGCCATACTCTGACCTTCTTGGGAAGTTAGAATTCAACGTGGCAGTAGTTTAGGTACAGGAGGAGACTGTCCCTCCTTTTCCCGGCAGAGCATCTGGTGGATAAGTCCTTTCTGACACAGCAAAGGACAAGAAAGACACGTGGCAAAGACACTCAAGAAGAGGGCAGGACTTATCAGTCTTCTGGTTTTCAAAGCAGGATCATGAGCATTCAGCTGGACTTCTGAGAGCTGCACACCTGGACTAGGTTCCTTTGACTTTCTCAACTTAAGTTTATTACAGAATGATTTGAAACAGTGACAAGTGGGAAAACATGTAAGTTCCACAACAGATGAATCAGTATAAAGACTTTTGGTAGTCAAGAGGAAGGGAACAGTATGCAGCCACTAAAAAGGATCTTCAAAAAGAAATTAAGACAAGGAGATATATATTATAACATGTTATAATATAATATAATATAATATAATATGTCATAATGGTTATCCATGGTGGACTGGGTTTGGTAGAACTCTCAGATTAATACAGGCTTAGAAGGAAGATTGGCATCCACTTCTTAAACAACATGCCTTTGGAAACTCTATCAACATTAGAGAAATGATGATAGTTACAGAACAGAATTCAGATCTTTTGTTTATAAGGTTGCTATGAGTTGTACTCGACTCAATGGCACATGACAACAACAACAATATATAATACAATATCATATATATATATATTAGAACAAGAAGAAATAGATAGATAGATAATAACTGATAACTAAGTACATAAAATTATACCCACTTCCTAAACATGCCTCTGGAAACTCTGTGAACGTAGAGAAGAAATGATAGTTATAGTACAGGCTTCAGTTGTTTTGTTCAAAGGGTCACTAGGAGTCACTGCTCAACTCAACAGCACTTAACAACAAGAAGATATTAGTAAACACATAAAATAACAAATATTTGACAAATGGAAGAGGGAAATGCTAATTATTAATAGTACTTATTTTATATAGATGGATTATAGATTATAGCAATTATTCATTTCTTCATGTTTTGCTATAATTTTCAACTTTTTCTCCATGTACATTACTTGGATCAAATTTTCAAAGTCAACATAATTTTCTTGGTTATTATTTTATTGCATGAAGAAGAAACAACCATAACAATGAGAATTTCTGCATCTCCTGCAAAAGTATTTTAAAATGCATGACCCCTCAGATGCGTTCAATAAAAGGTAAGTAATGTAATCCATCATGTTTACCTTTTTACCCTAACTGCCAGAAAGCTCAGAGCTAAATTTAATGCTCAAAATGCAATAACTATCTTAGTCCAAGGTCTTGCTATAGTAACTTCCATGCTCCTTTACATAGCTGCTGCTGAATCCTTCTGTTTGTATTTTCAGTTGCTTTGTTTGTGTTTTTACAAACTCAGCTTCCTCGTGGGATACACAAAAAAGCTTTTGCTGAAATTATTTAAAGGCACACAAGAAAAGTGGAGGTTCAGATTGGCAGGTATTCTGCTTTTACGTTTACAAATTTCTGGCACTAAAGTGAGGCTTTCAAAGTTCGAGCCATTCCAATTCCAGCAGAGAGTCAAAGTGGCGGACTAAATAAATGTATGCGCTAAGCTTCTTTATTGAGGCAAGCTATCCCCCAGTGAAAAGATTCACCTTTTCCTTGCAAACTCTCCATCTCCTTACAAGCTGTGCAGAGAAAGGTCCATTCTGGGTGCCACGGTCACCGGTCATTAACTGGCAGCAAATGTCGCAAAGTGAGACAAAATCTGCTCACCACATCTATCCTGCGTTCAAGTCTACAGACTACCAGGGACACAGCCAGCAAGCCTTCAGGTGGCATACATCATCCAGAAAGACAGCTGGCTTGAAAAAAAAAAAAAGAGAGAACAAAACCCCAAAAATACCAACCACAATCAACAAGCCCCCACACTCCTCAAATGGCTGTGGATTTTGCCCTCAGTTACTGAGACTGATTCTTGGTTCCCCCCCCCCCACCCCACACCAGCTGGGACACAGTGTGTCTGCTGTCTAGGTGAGACTGTTGGAAGTAAACAAAGCAATTCCATCACCTGGGTATCCCCCCAAATGTGATTTTTCCTGGCAGGAGAGAACACACTAGATTGTCAAAGAAGTCTTTTGGTTTCCGTAATAACCTCATTGACCCTTGATGAGATTTCAAAAGCAGATGAGCAGTCATCATGTTAAGATTTTGACCACTTTATCTAAACTCAGGTGTCTTAAATGCAAATCTATGCAAGGGAAAAAGAAGGGAAGAAGGATACATTTATTTAGTGCTTACTGCATGCCAGACAGCGTTGCCCTTAGCTTGGCAGTACAAGGCTTCCTCCACTCTGCCTTATCTCCCTAAGCCTCCAGTGCTTCTGAGCCAAGTATACAGAATAGTACCATTTCCCCCCAGCTGTGGAAATCTGGGCTTAGGGAGATTAAACACCTAGGCCAAGGTCACCTAGTGAGAAAGTAGCCAGTTTCTGACTAGAAACCAAGAACCAACTACTCCCAAGCCCAAGTCTGTGCCTCTTGCTGGCTTCAAAAGCCTGGAGACGTATCTGTTTGCACTAAGCTAAAATGATCTTCTTCCTCCAGCTCCTTAAATATTCCGATGGACTGAAGACGCTTCTCACCATCTCCTCCTCTTGGGCCCTCTCACTCTGAAAGTCATCAAGACACACTTGAAAAATACAACGTAAAAGCTTCAACCCACATCCTGAAACCAACCATCCATCTCCTTGCTGCCACAGACAGCATAATGTGAAATCTCTCCCAGGAAAGCTCTCTCTCTAACTGGGAATAAATTGACAGTGGAAACATTATGCCGTGAACTATGTGGTGATGATGCAAGCTGGGTCGCCCTCTCTACACATGTTTTTGTCTCGGTAGGAGCTACAGAGAAATAATATCAAGAAAGGCATGCCTCTGTGTATCTGCATGGCTGACTCCAGGGCCTGAGGAGCGCAAGTATACCCAAGAACTTGGAATGTTTGGCAGAGAGGAGGATAATAATAAGCATGTCATTCAAACATTATTCCACACCGGGCTATCCTTGTACAGCCGCCAAGCCTGCATCCGCCTGGGGCAGAAGATCCCTCTGCCTGCATCAGCCTGCACGCACCGACACAAACTGCCACCCATTCCTTCACCTTTTATTTACAGCGCAGAACGGGAGTGGAGGGAGGGGTGGTGAGGGAATAAGATGCAATCCATTATTTCTGCTCTTTCTCTGGGGACCTAAAAGGAGATCTCCATCATTGGCATGAAAGCGCGAACCTCTCAGTCAAAGGGGTCTGGCTTGAGCATTAGTGTCCAGGGAGCCCTGTGAAGCCAAGGCGGTGGGGATGGACGGGGAGGCGGTCAAGTCCAGCACCTTGGCCCCGTCTGGTAGAAGAGATGCCAAGGGAGCGCACTGCACAGGAAATCACTGCCCTCTTCAGGCCGCGTCTCAGACCCTGTGCTGGGAGCGTGAGGGCTCTTTCTGTCCGGAAAAAAACTCGCACAGCCGACCTGGCGCCCCCAGCAGCCGCTCCTTCCAGCCTCCTCACTGGGCGCACCCCATTTCTCCGGCTGGCGGGGAAGGTTCCTCAAATGAACGCGAGCCGAGGGCGTGGGGTGGGCATCTGTGACGGAAAGCTCTAAGCTCTCCGGTTCGATTTCGAGGAGGAGGCTAGGAGAGGAAGCCACTAAAGCGCTCCAAGTCCTTGCTCCAGCTGCTAATATGCTGCAAAAGTCTGCGCCTGGAGAAACTACGCTTGCAGCCTGGCCAACAGCAGACGCGCATCGGGACACCCCTGCGTGTCCGGGGCGAGACCCGCGGAGGACATTCTCTGAGCAACTAGCCGCGGGGGCTGTGGGCCAGCCGGCACCTCCAGGCTGTAGCCCTGCGGAGCCGGCAGCCCAACACCTGCCGGCACCGGGAGGGCTCGGAGCTCTGGCGCGCACCGCACTCCCAGCGCTGCTGCGCGCTCGGCCCCTGGGGTCCCGGAGCTCTCCAGACCTCAAAGCTTGGCACGGCTCTCCGAAGGCCCCTCCTGCCGTGTGTGGCCCACTTTGCAGTCTGTGCATCTAGTCCTCTTCCCCATTACCCAACAGCCCCAAGAGCGAGCAGGACTGGAACAGGGGCAACCACAGGAGACCTTTGGGGGTCCAGCCCCAACCCGCCCCACTCCTACTTCTCTGGTGAAAGAGACTCTAATCTTCTACCCAAAAATCCCACTCACATACATACAACCGACAATCCCGGCGGAGGGGGAATGTTGGACAAACCTTAGTACCAGCTGTTCCAGGCAAGCCCAGTGGGACATGGGCGGGAAGAGCACTGGGCGCCAGCCCACGGTGTCCTCGGCAGGTGCGGGTCAATGGGGGCTCTGATCAAGGGTCGGCCACCTGCCTTTCCCCACCCCGTCCCCATCCAACCGCCCCCCCCATTCCCGACGGTGCGGACAGCCGGACGCTTACCTCTGTGTCGTAGAGCCGCAGGTCAAGAAAGTAGGGGCGCAGGAGCGACTCGTTGCGGATCTGCTCGATCGCCAGTTCCACGGCGGGGAGCACGCCGCGCCCGATGCTGCCCTTGGCCACCTCCTTGGTGAGCGGCATGAGGCCCATGATGGAGAGCGGCGGGCTGCTGGGCGGCGGCCGGGGGGCGCCCCGCGCCC